CCCTTCTGTATCCATCATCCTTCCCTAGCTACCTCTCCACCCAGCCAGCCATCTCTAGCTAATCCATTGATTTCATCTACTAATCCAGCCTCCTCTGCCCTCTGCCGGCCCCTGATGGGGGGGGAGAGGTTCACCCTGCAGCTGGGTGCCAGGCAATGCAGGGCGTGGTCTGGGCTGAGCTCTGCGTCACTAGGCTGAGTGGGTCCCTCCCTCCTCCCCAGTGTTCAGCCTGGCCCTGCATTGGGCTCCAGCATGATTTGAACCCGGGGAGCCATAAACCCTGCCAGCAGGACAGCTAGAAGACTAGGAAAGGGGGCTGACCCGTCGGCTATGACTGGCCCAAGGACTCAGAGACAGGCCGGGCTTGGGCAGGAGCCAGCCATCTCCTCACTGGGGGCACAGACAGATGGTGGCAGATGACAGAACAAGTTGCAGTGTGGGAGGTCTAGGCTGGATATTCAGAAACACTATGTCACTAGGAGGGCGGTGAAGCAGTGGAATGGGTTCCCTAGGGAGGTGGTGGAATCTCCTTCCTTAGAGGTGTTTAAGGTCAGGCTTGACAAAGCCCTGGCTGGGATGATTGAGTTGGGAATTGGTCCTGCTTTGAGCAGGGGGTTGGACTAGATACCCCCTGAGGTCCCTTCCCACCCTGATCGTCTATGACTCTATCGTCTGAGGTGACCTGATGCATCTCTCGCGGGAAGGCGGCCGTGGGTCTGGGCAGAAGGCAACAACCCCTCTCCCTTCTGCCCCGGAACAGGCAGAGACTGAGGCTGGCGGGTGAAACTGATGGGAAGAAGCACCCCCAGCAGCAGCCATCGATGGACCTGCAGCACAGTGGCCTCCATTCCGTGCCTGCTGCTGGGGAGCTCGACGGCGAGGAAAGAGGCTCTGGGGCGGCTGGGAATCGGAAGGGGACAGGCCACGCCCTCCACGTCAGCCTGGCTCCCCAGGGCTCAGGAACCCCCCTTCACAGGGAGAGCCTGGTGAACCCAGAGAGGAATGGGTGTGTGCCTTCCTAGAGCCATCGGGCTTCAGCCATTCTGGGACCCGCAGCCCCCATAGCCCAGCCCTGGGTTCCCCCCAGCGCTGCCCGTGCCCCTCACTCCCGACCCGCAGCCCCCATAGCCCAGCCCTGGGCTCCCCCAGCTCTGCCAGTGCCCCTCACTCCCGACCCGCAGTCCCCATTGCCATCCTGGTGCCAGTATTCTGGGTCTCTCCTCAGCAGAGTTCACCCATTATATGAAAATGGAGCAGAATTTTGTGCTGTGTTACGATCTGTGCTGAGGAGAGCCCAAGGGTGGGGTGCACTGTGGTCAGCACTGACTTTGAAAGGAGAGCGCCCCCTACTGAGCCCCCCGCCCCGCCCCCTGCAGCACGGCGCCCCCTACTGAGCCCCCTGCAGCACGGCGCCCCCTACTGAGCCCCCCGCCCCCTGCAGCACAGCGCCCCCTACTGAGCCCCCTGCCCCGCCCCCTGCAGCACGGCCCCCCTCGCCCTGCACTGGGACATTGGGCTCAGCGCTGACCCAGTCCCCCATACCAAAGCAGGCAGGGCCCTGTGAGGGGGCTGGGGCCCGGTTCCCACCCCTGCATGTTTACCTACCAGCCCTTCTGCTCCGGGGCCGAGGGAGGTGACGGCCAGGTCGTTGCCGTTCGGGTCGAAGGCGTTGATCTCGATGCCCCAGTTGTTCTGCGGCTGCTTGAACCAGTTCTGCAGCACGTGCTTGAAGTCGATGCTCTGCCAGTGGCCGAGGCGGGAGTGCAGGTCGATCTTGAGGGAGCGGATGCGGATGTGGCGGCTGCCCTCCTCGGTGACGGGCTTGAGGCGCAGGATCTGCAAGTAGACGGTGGAGGTGTGCTGCACGGGCCGCAGGTACACCCACAGCTGGGCCTTCACCACCTTGGTGAACATGATCTTGGGGCTGAAGTTGAAGTAGCAGCAGTGGGGGTTCCCCTCTATCTGCACCACCGGGTCCGCTGCGGGGGTGGGGGGAAAGCACACGTGAGCGGAGCTGCCTCCCGGCTCTGGACACCTGCTGCCCAGCCCCCAGGAGCCACAGCCAGGCCCTCGCTGAATGTGAACTCCTCCCAGAGCCTTAGGAGGTGAAGGTCGGGTCATAGGTCACTAGGCCATTTCCCCTCTATCTGCACTACGGTCTTGCATCCGGCCTCTGTCCCCAATGCCGTGATCTTACACAGGCAGGGATCGGGATTGAGGGGCAGTGGCCGAACTGCGGGGATCCAACGCTGGCATAGTGGGCGGGGAGGGGGAGTTGCCAAGGCACTGAAGAGCTGTGGGTAGCGGGGGATGGATCCCCGGGCTGACATAGCGGGGCAGGGCTATGGGTCAGGATTGAGGAGCACGTGCCGAGCCGGGACCAGCCCATGGTGCATTTCTTCCAAGCTGCCTGTCACTGATCCGCTTTCCCCCTATGTCAGAAAAGCAGCCCCAGAGCAGGGATCCTGAGCCCCCCTCAGCCCACCCAATGCACAGCCAGGGAACTGACGGCCTCTCTGTCAGGCATCTCGGGGAGTCTCAGCTGCACCCCCACAGAACTGGACAAACCCCCAACCCGGTGATTCACTGGGTCATCCCTGGATTCCAGTTTCCAACACTCAGCACCGAGTCCGCAGGGGTGTGGAACCCAGGAGTCCTGTCACCAGAACACCTGCACCAAAATCTAATAACCCCCGGCCCTGATCTAGCTTCCTCCACCTGAGACAGCCTGGATCATCCCACCAGGCCCTGAAATGCTGCCACCTCCGGGGTGGAACATGCCAGCTGTGTAACAGCTCCAGCAAAGCTACACAAGGAGTTAGGATGGTGAGGGAAGAGCCTGCATCCAGCGGTAACTCCAGGAGAAATGGAGAGGGGCAGCAGGACAAAAGTGCCAGGGCTGAGCCCTGCGAAAACTGTTGGACTCTGTAAAGACCATGGCCTCTCCCTGGAGCCCCACTTGCCAAATATCACCACCAGCAGCACAGCGCCCCCTAGTGCCACGCTGGGACAATGGGGCCAGCCCTGCCT